CCGGCGTCCGCGGCCGCCCCGAGCTCCTCGCTCCGCCTGCATCTGGCCGCCGCCGGCGATGCTGAGCGCGCCGGAGCTGGGCCGCGGCGGAGACGCCCTTGCCCCACCGGAAACAGGTCGCTCGCAGGAGCCGCGAGCGACAGGCCCCCGGTGGCGGCGAGCGCGGGGTGCGGGGCCGGGGATGGAAGCCGGCCGCGGCGGGGGCGGGGCGGCCCGGGGCCTGGCAGGTGGGGCCGGAACCGGGGCCCCGGGAAGGCTGGGGCTTCAGAGGAAAGGCCCACCCGTGGGAGCGGGAAGTGGGGGACTCGGTGGGTCTGGGGAAGGGACTGTGGCTCAAGGACGGGTTATAAAGTAAAGGTAAATGGATGGGTTAAACTGTATAATTGGAACTCGTTTTTGTTAAAAAAAAAAATTATAAATATGAGTGTATTTGCATTAAAAAAAAATCTAAAAAGCATATACCAGAATGTGAGCAGAGGTTAATTAACGGTAAGGTGGGGCTCCCAGTGAGTTAATTTTTCCTTTTTTCCCCCGTTTAATCTCTTAATTATCAAGCATGAATGTGTATAATTATTAAAATTATTCTGAACTCAGGGTTCAGGAGGAGGTATGGAGGAGAAGGTGGGGGCGTCTCGGGTGAGAGGTGTGGACTGCAGCAGGCAGCTGGGATAGCACAGTGCAAAACTGGTGATGAGTGGAAGGGCTCTGAAGTCCTTGCGAGAACTTCTGTAATAATGACTACTTTAGCCCACACCTATTGAGCACCTGAGTGTTTAATTCTCCTGGCAGCCCTTTTAGGTAGATACTAGCATCACTCTTATTTTGCAGATGAGAAGCAACCCTAGAGGTTAAACAACTTGTCTTATGTGGTACAACTGGCATTTTAACTCAGGTGGACTCACTACATTCTATTCAGTGTGTGTGTGTTTGTGTGTGTCATCACTTCTTTAGTAGAAACTTGTGCGACTTACCCATGATTGAATAATTATATTCCTTGTATTGCTAAGTGGTAGTCCATTTTATTTATCCAGTCTACTTTTTTAACCAGGAGAAGAAGGGCAATTGGTCATATGGATACATGGGAGCCATTTTTAACTTTGTATTACAGAAACCACATAGAATAAACAAGGGCTAACTAAAACTCCCATCATCCAATCAGCATAGCAAAACAATTGGTTTTTTTATCCCCTCTTCTCAGTCCTTTCTTATATCCGTATGTACTTAACACTGTTCATTGCTTCTGATCGTCTTCCCTATGCCAGCCACACTGCTTTTGTCCTGGAGATTTACAAAAAAACAAAAAAACAAATAAAAAAAAACAATCCCTGCCCTCAAGAAGCTGTTTTATTTTATATGTTTATTTAATTTCGAGAGAGGGAGACAGAGTGCAAGCAAGGGAGGGGCGGAGAGAGAAGGAGACAGAATGTGAAGCAGGCTCCAGGATTTGAGCTGTCAGCACAGAGCCAGATGAGAGGCTCAAACTCATGAACCACGAGATCATGACCTGAGCCAAAGTCAGACACTTAACTGAGCCACCCAGGCTCCCTGAGTAGCTTGCTTTCTGTAAGGATAACCCTCTAAACAGATGATTGCTCTGGAGTGCTGAGTGCAGTGGGAGGTTCAAGGTGAAGGCCCAAAGGAAGAAAGAAACTAGCCCTAAATGAATAGCCCAAGGCCTCATGAGAAATACGACCTTGAACAAAAGCCTGATGTAAGCAGGAGTTTGCCTCATTGATAAGTGGGATCTGGGAGCTTTCTAAACAGAAGGAACCACTGAAGGATTGTAAACTGGAAAGAAAAAATCTTAAATATAGTGATGCAGAGCATAGTTCAGAGTACAGTTCTGAGTACATCCTACATAGCACCTGATGTAAACCTCACAGCAGCATTAGGAGGTTGTACTAGTGTTGGCCCGGTTTTACAGATGAAGAATCTAAGTAACATCCAAGACTACACAGCTAGTACGTAATTGAAGGATTGGAACCTAGGGCAGTCTGAGCCTATGTTGTTAACCACTACACTCAAAATCATTCTGTAGAGGAGCATTCAGACTCTAGGCAGAGCCATTAGGAAGCTACTAGAATAGTCCCAGCCACAAATGATTAGGGCCTAAATTAAGTTGAGAGCTGAGGAGGCAGATAATGAGAAAATTGATAGGACCCCTTGTCCAACTGTAATTGGGCTGGGGGGTGAGAAGTTGGAGGTGATGCCCAGGTTTCTTTCTTGGTAGTTAATGATGCCTTTAGTCAAGAGAGAATACAGTGTGGAGGGAGATGTGTCACGGAAGGTTGTCAGCATAACTATTTTTTAACATCACATTCTATATTTTTCTGTGTTAATTTGTTGTCTTCATAGTTAACATTTTTTGTTAGTGGACACTATTATGTCTTACACAGTACATCAACTTTTCCTTGTCCACTGATCTCCAGCCTTTCCCCCTTTTTTTTTATTCCCCCATACCCTATTTTCCTCATTTTTTTCCATGTCTCTATTTGTGAAATTAGGACTGTCAGCACCCAGGATTAAGTTATTCATCCCCATGCTAAACTCTCAAATTCAAAGTCCCACCTCTGAACACTAAACAGGAAGATGAGAACAGTAACAACAAATGTATCCTTTTCCCTGTGCACCAAAGAGGAGCTAACAGGAGATACAAACAGATAAGAAAGGCTTGTTTTAAGACTCCATTGGTCAGCCTGGACCCCCATCTTCTGTGTAGCCAAGAATTACAATGTTTTGGTACATTATCTCATCCTAATTCTACATTCAGTGACAAAGTTGGTAGCTTGAAATGGGTCACAGTAGGGATTTTTACACCACAGAAATTGGCAAAGTTTTGCACATAATTTGCTCAAACTTCTACGTGACAGAACTGGGGTTCATACCCATTCAGTCTGGTTGCAGAATCTGTGTTCTTAAGTCTATGCTGCGGATGCCACCAGAGGTCCAGAGCCTGTATTACTCCCCTTCCCCTCCTGTCCTTTTGAGTTTTGTTTTGTTTTGTTTTGTTTTTAATTTAGCCAGGAGTATTTAGATATGGAGAATTCTTGTATTTTAATGTTTATTTATTTTGGGGGAGAGAGAGAAAGGCAGGGAGGGTCAAGTGGGAGGGAGAGGGAGAGAGAAATCCCAAGAATGCTCCACGACACTATCAGCGCAGAGCCCGAAGCTGGGCTGGAACTCACGAACCAAATGGAGGTGGTGACCTGAGCGGAAACCAAGAGTCATATGCTTCACCAACTGAGCCACCCAGGCTCCGCTAGATGTGGAGAATTCTGAGATCTCCCTGCTAACACCTCCTAACTGGAAGGACACCTCTAGCTGAAGTTCTTCTAAGATGTTGACTATGCTTTCCTCGTCTGATTCTGATCCACATGGTAAAGAGATTATCAAGGATAAAAAAAAAAAAAAAAAAAAAAATTCTTGCATTGCAAGAACCCAGAGACCTTTTGATTTTATAAATAACAAAAGGAAGGAAGGTTTTTCCTGCTATTGCTTTCACTTGATAGTCCTGATTTTAAACGTATGCCATTGCATGAATAAAAAATTCAGTTTTCCCTTAGGTAGTATTCATGAGATATCAAAAAGAAAATGCTGAATTACATAGGTAGCTCTTTAAGAAAATAAACTGCACTATTTGCATATTTTTTAATATATATGACTTGATTTATTACAAAAAAAAAAAGGCAGTTAATTGCTTAAGGCAATAGTTTTCAAAACGTGGACCAGCAGCATAGCATTACCTGGGAACTTTTTAGACATGCAAATCTGCAGGCCTCACCCCAGAATCAGAAACTGGAGATGAGGCCCAGCAATCAGTGGTTTAACAACCATCCCCATCAGGGGTTCAGATGCATGGTCAAATTTGAGAACCACTGAATCAAGGTAGTATTTCACCCTTCAAATATCACCCGGAAACCTAATTCCTAGCCGGAGCTTATACATTCTCACTGTTTGATAAAAGTGGATGTTATGATAGGACTTAAAACTCTTTTTTAATAATAAATTAAAGGGGCGCCTGGGTGGCTCAGTCAGACCTGGGTGACTTCGACTCAGGTCATGATCTCGCGGCCTGTGAGTTCAAGCCCCGCATTGGGCTCTGTGCTGACAGCTCAGAGCCTGGAGCCTGCTTCGGATTCTGTGTCTCCCTCTCTTTCTGCCCCTCCCTCGCTCATGCTCTGTCTCTCTCTCTGTCAAAAATAAATAAAAACATTAAATAATAATAATAATAAATTAAAAAACACTGTCCCTTTGCAAATAAATGTTCAAGGGATATGCATCTTCCTGATTCTTCTCTTCATAGGCAGATTTTCTAGTTTTGTTGATTTCTGATGCTTAGTATATAAACAGTATAAACTGGAGAACATTGATAAGGTCTCTCCAAAAGCGGTCTCTGTATCTAGTAGATGTTTTTGAACAGCCACAGCCACTGTGGAAAGTGCTCCAGGACTGCAGGGGGAGGAATCTGGCCAGGAACTCTCCTTTCAGCCCAGAATCCTCAGCCTGGAACGTGGTAAAAAGATAAGAGCAAGCGAACTGCCTGTAAGGTCACAACGGTGCCCAGGCCTCTAAAGCTAGAGTCACGGAACAACCGAAAATGAACGGGGCAAACTCCCAACATACAGGATTCACGACTTGCTCCCTCCTTCTCTCTCCCTCCATCCCCACTCTCAGCTGCTGACCTTGCTTTCTACTTCACAGAGAAATGAAAGCAATCAGGAAAGAATTTCCACTGCCATTACTCACAGACTACCTACATCAGTGCCCGTCTGCCCTGCCGTGTCCTCTCCAGGTTACTACAAAGAGGTCTCTGCTCCCGTGTGAAGCCCGGGGCCTCTATTACTGCACTAAGTCCAATCCCTGCTCACCTCCTCGAGGACACCTCTCCAGCAACTGGCCCCACTCTGTCCTGCTCGGCAGTTTTTACCTTCCAATGGATCATGCACATTAGCGTGCAAATATGCTATCCTTCTGCCTCTCTAAAACAAAACAAAAACAAGAAAACTCTTGGCCCCATATCCTATTCCATTTTCATAATGGATTTCTATAGCAAAGCTCCTCAGAAGAGTCCTCTGCGGCACTGTCTCCAGCGTCCTCCGTTAACTCTCTAATCCGCTCCACAAGGCCTTCACCATTACCACCTCACCAGATGACCTCCCAGGGTTGTCCGGGATCCCCATGTAAGTAAGTCCAATCGTCAGTCCCCGGTCCTAGGCTCTTGTTCCATGCACAGTTCATAACTGATCATGTTACAGTTCATCTGATACAGTTCATAACTCCCTCCTCCACGGACTGTCTTGCTGCTGCTTCCGGAACAACACACTACCCTCAGAACGCAAAAATAAATATATTCGCCATGCCTTTAAGTCTGTCGGGGGGAAGACTTGGACAATATCGTCCAGAGCTCCCGGACTTCCAGATTCTCACATAAACCCGTCTGGGCAGCACCTCCCAGCCCGTTTCATGTCATGGCACACACAGGAAATGATATTATCCAGCACACTGGGATAACAACAAGACAAGGCTGGTCTCAGCAGGAGGAGTCCCCACCCTGCAGAGGCAACCCCAAGGCGTGGTGGGGCACAGGCATGCACCGAATGGCTCCAGCTGATGCTGTCTTGTAAAGCAGTCCCACCCGTCTTCCTGTCTTACTCTGAAAATACAGTCATTTGATGTGCTCCATAAGACTTCTGTCACGTTGTCGTGGTATAAAGGCACGACTTCACTCTTCTATCCTCTTTTTCTTAGAACTGTAGACGTCTAACTCCTTTACTGCAAGGACTACTGTATATCTCTTTTATATGCCCCCCCTGGAATCTAGCACAGTGGTGAACACAGAATATGTTTTTAAAAACTTATTACAGGGTTGGGGGGAAGGCGCCTTGCTAACTCAGTCGGAAGAGCATCTGACTCTTGATCTCAGGGTCATGAGTTCAAGCCCTACATTAGGTATAGAGATTACTAAAATAATAAGTAAAACTTAAAAACAAAAAATAAAAATAAAAAGTTAGCACTTACTGTGTTATTAATAATATTGTAATAACTTTGTATGGTGACAGATGGTAACTATGCTCATCATGGTGAGCATTTCAGAAAATATAGAACTTTTAGATCACTATGTTGAATACCTGAAATTAATATAATATTGTATGTCACCTATACTTCAAGTAAAAATAAATACATGGGGCACCTGGGTAGCTCAGTCTGTTGAGGATCCAACTTCTGATTTCAGCTCAGGTCATGATCTCATGGATCGTGGGATCGAGCCCAGCATCAGTCTCTGTGCGCACATCACGGAATCTGCTTGAGATTCTTTCTCTCCCTCTCTCTCCTACCACCCACCCCCCCCCCCCCGATTGTATACAGACATTCTCTCTCGCACTCTCTCTCTCAAAAATATTCTTAAATATTATTTTTTTCATATTTAAAAATGTTTATTTATTTACAGAGCGCCTAGGTGGCTCAGTTGGTTAAGAATCCAACTTCGGCTGAGGTCAGGATCTACAGTTCGTGAGATAGAGCCCCGCATGGGGCTTAGCATGAAAGGCAGAGGCTACTAGGCATTCTCTCTCTCTCTCTCTCTCTCTCTCTCTCTCTCTCTCTCTCCCCCGCCCCTGCTCATTTTCTCTCCCTCTCCTTCTGCTCCTCCCCTATTCATTTTCTCTCTCTCTCTCTCAAAATAAGTAAACTGAAAAAAAAAAATTTTTAAGTGTGTTTATTTTGAGAGAGAAAGATCAGGGGAGGGGCAGAGAGAAAAAGAGAGAGAGAATCCCAGGCAGGCTCTACACTGTCAGCTCAGAGCCCGACCTCATGAACTGTGGTACCATTACCTGAGCCAAAATCAAGAGACCGACACTTAACCAACTGATTCACCGAGGCACCCTAAGAAAAGAAATTTTAAAAGAGTATGCATTGCATTAAAATTCAGGCCCAGATATTGCTTCAACAACATTAAGAAGTCATTTCTTAATCACCAGAAATCTTTGGACAGCATTCTATTAATTGAAAGAGGTTAGATACACCTACTTTAAAATACAAACAAAAAAGGTAAGTTCAGAACCTCTTTTACTCCTACATTCCATCACTGGAAATTCTTCCTGACATCTAACCCAATGTTATCATCTGTATTTAAGCTTACTTTCTCTCGATTTATCCTTGAAAAGGAAGGGGTTGGGAGAAGATCAGCTCATGAATACTCTGCATAACAACCTGAGCTGGTTATGATGATGTCCTGATATCACTAGATTGTAGATGCTGTTGACATTTTCCACTGCAGTTGCTATAGAAACAGTAAAGCATAGTTCAGACATAAAGCTTCTCAGAGAAAAGGTATTTCAGAAAAGCAAGGTCTAAGCATATCTCATGCAAAACCTCAGAAGTCATCAAGGCCACCAGCAAGGAAAAGAATTAATTTGACACATTGTGTTGCCTCTTTTGGTGTTTATGTTGGTTTCTTTCCTTTGTAACTTATTGAAGCAAAGTGCCAGAGTTCGGAACAAGGAGACTTTCATTGTTCTGGGTTTGTCTTCTATTTGGGGGTGGAAAATAAACCAGGGGTGACTGCTCTCTGCCTATGCTAGCACCCTAGAAATAAACATACTCTCCATAAAGTTGTGGAAAATGGGAACTTTTAAAATTTGAGTAACCAAAAAAGAGCTCAGAAGAATTCTCACCCCCTTCCCCAGTAACTACCACAACCCCCCAAAACAAGACTTACTCCTCCATAAACATAATATTTTACTCAAAAACCTTTTAAAGGTTCAAATGTTTATTTTGGAAGACTGTTATGCTTGAAACTCAGTTTTCACACTCAACTATCACCCACACAAAAAAATCAGTCCTTCAAGTCATGGAACCTACCTCATGTCCCTATCTCATATGCCTTTGACTGTGACAAGATCTGTCCATTCCCACCAGCTTAGGAATCAGGAAAGATCACCCTTTCAAACATGAGGCGGAGGGGGGATGGAAAGAACAGAGAGAAGCAAACCTGGTAAGGAAGTATGCATTAATTTCAAACAGGAGAAATAAAAATAACTCAAATGTCCTTGGAAGGCAGAGTGGGATCCAAATGTTATTGCACATTTCAGTCGGAAAATTCCAATTTTAATAGCACCTGTGTAAAGCTATGGTTGCCCTTTTCTAGGAAGATCAGCAATTATCCTCTGTCTGGCTATTCATAGTACCGTTCAGGAACGCCTGGGTGGCTCAATCAGTTAAGCCTCTGACTTCGGCTCAGGTCATGATCTTGCTGTTCATGAGTTCGAGCCCGGCATCAGGCTCTGTGCTGACGGCTCGGAGCCTGGAGCCTGCTATGGATTCTGTGTCTCCCCTCTCTCTCTGCCCTTTCCCTGCTCATGCTCTGTCTCTCTCTTGCTCTCTCAAAAATAAATGAACATTAAAAATAATAATAATAATAATAAATAAATAAAGTACATCTCATGGGTCAGCAGCATAGACAGAATGCTCAGGAGCTGTTGATATGGGGATGATGAAATGTAGGATTTTAAACTTCGCTCTTCTGCAGATTAACTAGATCCTCCAGGTAATGCACAAGCATGTTACATTTTGAGAAGCACTGATTCTAGTCCTGGGGACTTTTTCATTTCCAACGTGCTCCAGGGTGGTGCCTGGCCATCAATCGACTGCACCTTGAGTAGCAAGGATCTAGAGAGGCCACTAGTGTTCCACCCCGGCTTCAGGGGAGAATCACCTCAGGAATTTCAAAACGACATCATGTCCAAGTCTCTCCCACATAGACACCTGTTAACGGAGCTGGGGTGGGGTCTAGACATTAGTATTTTCCAAAAGCTCCCAGGTGGCTCTAATGAGCTGCCGGTGGATGAGTTCCACTTACCTAGACTAACCCCTCATTTTATAATAATTACAACCCCAAACCGACATCAGAATAGGACGTGGTGGTTTCCCTACATTACCTCATTTGGGAGTCCTCAAAACATATCTGTAAGAGAGAACAGATACTGTTACCCTAGCTTAACAGATGAGAAGCCTGAGGACTCCAAATCCGCTGAGAGCTGCTTACACTGCACTAACTTCCAGACGGCGGCTGACTGCTGTTTCTCTGGCTGACAGTAGAGGGAAGCGGAGGTCTAAAATTCCTATACTGTCCACTATTTCCCACAGCGAGTCTATAGGGAGAGCTTGCAAGCATTTTAGATGGCAAATCATTCATTCCAATCTCTTAAGTTTATATGTAGGGAAACTGAGGCCCAGAGATTTGTGTCAAATCACAAGATTTTAGCTGAAATGTGAACTCAGATCTCCATACTCTTGGTTCAGCGTGTTTCCCACTAACCTGCATTTCCCAGCTGTGCTCCACGGATGCCACAGGATGCTAACAGTTGTTCCTCTGAAAAAAACTTACACTCGAAGCCACCTCTGTGTTAAACCAAATTCAATACTGTCTTTGACTTCAGGACCTCCCAGCCTTCTCTGGGCTCATGTGTCTTCTGAATCTCTGTGAGCTTTATATACTATAGGGTATTTTCTCAGCTTCTTTGACTATGCAATCATATCTTTTTTTAAATCAAGTATCTTGAGGTAGCCCTATTCTAATGAGCAGACTTTGAAGAAGACTGTTAACTTGGCTCTCTTCAAGATTATTCTGCTTTAGTGGATGGGAACAATTCATTCTGTCCCTAAAGGTGGAGTACAACTACCAAAACTAAAGGGGAAAGTATCATTAGCACCATGAAGCATCTAAAACAGCCACTTCAAGGTTGTGAGAGTATTGTCTTGTCATTTTATACCACTTTGTCCCTTAGTAGACCATGCCTCAGACCCTCTCCCACAAAAGGAAAAGTCATTTTGATGTCCTTCTGCGGGATGGCTACTTTGTAATGAACATTCCCCTGTGTCAGGCTCTATGTGAAACACTTATTGAGGATTACCTCGTTTAATCCTTAAACAACCCAATGAGGTAATAAGGACTCTTAGTATCCCCACTTCTAAGTTTAAAAATATGAGGGGCGCCTGGGTGGCGCAGTCGGTTAAGCATCCGACTTCAGCCAGGTCACGATCTCGCGGTCCGTGAGTTCGAGCCCCGCGTCAGGCTCTGGGCTGATGGCTCAGAGCCTGGAGCCTGTTTCCGATTCTGTGTCTCCCTCTCTCTCTGCCCCTCCCCCATTCATGCTCTGTCTCTCTCTGTCCCAAAAATAAATAAACGTTGAAAAAAAAATTAAAAAAAAAAATATGAGACCTAAAGAGGTTAAGTAACATGTCCAAAGCCATACAGTGAAGAGTGGAACTAGGGGGTTTTTTGTTTTAAAGATTTTATTTTTTAAGTAATCTCTACACCCAACATGGGGTTCAAACTCACAAGTCCAAGATTAATAGTTGCATGTTCTCCCAACTGAGCCAGTCAGGCACCCCTGGAGGTAGGTTTTGAACCCGACACTGCCCACTGCCAGATTCAGTTGTATGATTAAGAGACCACGTTGCCACTATAAATGATCTTTACCCCATTTATCAAAGTGTTTATTTCTTTTATGAGAGAGAGAGAGAGAGGGAGAGACTTTTTTTAATTTTTAAGGATTGTGGAGTTTAGCAAGTCTAAAATGTGCAGTGCAGGTTAAAAGACTAGAAATTCCAGCAGGAGTCAGTGTTGTAGTCTTGCATCCAAAGGTAATCTGGAGACAGAAGGAACTCGGCCATTAGCTGATTAGATGAGCCCCACCCACACTATGGAGGATAATCTGCTTTACTCAAAGTCTACTGACTTAAATGTTAGTCACATCTAAAAAATACCTTCACAGCAACAGCTAGTATCAGGTGTTTGACCAAACAACTGGGAACTGTAGCACAGCCAAGATGGCACATAAAATTAACCATCACACTGTATAACGTACAAAATCATGAAAATGTATCTTGCATCCCATTAGTCAAACTTCCTGATTTTTACAAATGAGGAAACACATGGGAGAACATGAGCCCCTAGTTATACACATGCGTTCACAGGAGAACATGCACTCCCAAATTCCCAGAACTCTTCATAAATTGCTCACTACCTTCCAATAAAATTAGGTGGAAAAATTAAATCCTTCCAAAACACCATTTATTTCTATTTTGAAGACTTGGCTAGAAAAAAATCATCAGTCAGTTCATTTTATTACTTCTCTCCAGACTATCTCCCTCAACACCCTGGATGTTGGGACTACTTTCAGAGCAGATGGGGAGTCTGGAAATAGAAACAGCTGACACAGCTCTCCCAGAAGGTGGACTTCTTTGATCTGAAGTCCACTCCTGTCCCTCCTACCCCACCCCCTCAACCTCTCTAGTCTCGCTTCTCATGTCCCTGGCTTCCTCCAGCTTGATGCCTCCTCTCTTTTTAAGTTTTTACTTAAATTCCAGTTAGTTAACATACAGTGTAATATTAATTTCCAGTGTACAATATAGCGATTAAACACTTCCATCCAACACCCGGTGCTCATGACAAGTGCACTCCTCCATCCCCATCACCCATTTAACCCATTCCCCTGCTCAGCTCCGTTAACCATCAGTTCTCTATAGTTAAGAGTCTGTTTCTTAGTTTGCCTCTCTCTTTTCTTCCCTTTGTTCATTTGTCTTGTTTTTTAAATTCCCCATATGAGTGAAATCATATGGTATTTGTCTTTCTCTGACTGACTTATTAGCATAATGCACTCTAGCTCCAACCATGTCATTGCAAATGGCAAGATTTCATTCTTTTTTATGGCTGAGTAATATTCCAGTGTGTGTGTGTGTGTGTGTGTGTGTGTGTATGTGTATATATATATATATATATATATATATCACCTCTTCTTTATCCATTCATCAGCCAATGTACATTTGGGCTCCTTCCATAATTTGGCTACTGTTGGTAATGCTGCTATAAACATCGGGGTGCATCAGAATTTTTGCATCTTTGGGTAAATACCTATTAGTGCAATTGCTGGATCATAGGATAGTTCTATTTTTAAACTTTTTTTTAAGTTTATTTATTTTGAGAGAGAGAGACAGAGAGAGCTAGCATACGTGGGGGACTGAGAACCAGAGCCCGACACAGGGCTCAAATCCATGAATCGTGAGATCATGAGCTGAGCTGAAATCAGGAGTCCGAGGTTCAACTGACTGAGCCACCCGGGCATCGCAATTCTATTTTTAACTTTTTGAGGAACCTCCATACTGTTTTCCAGAGTGGCTGTACCAGTTTGCATTGCTACCAGCAGTGCAAGAGGGTTCCCCTTTCTCCACATCCTTGCCAACACCTGTTTTTGTGTGTGTGTTGTTTTTAGCCATGCTGACAGGCATGAGATGGTATCTCATTGTAGTTTTGATTTGCATTTCCCTGACGACCAGTGATACTGAGCTTGGTATCTCCTTTTGCCTCTGGGCTTACTACAAATAAGTTCATCCCCTCCGAGACTGAAACACTCTTTCCCTTGCCCACCCCTACATATCCCCCTTGCCTAGCCAAAGCCCATTCATGCTTCAAGTCTCAGCTTAGACATATTTTCCTCAAGAAGTGTTTCCCCCAACCCTCACGGGATTGGGTTACATGTCCTTCCATGTACCCTATGGCATGCAGTGCCGCCCCCTTACATTTATTACCTGTTTCTTTATCTACAACCCCACCAGTGTCTTGTTCCACGGTACCCCCACCATTGGAGTCTGTCACAGAAAAGACATTCAACGCATATTTATTGGGGGAAGGAAAAAAAGATAGAATGAAGGAGACCAGAAGGAATTTCTGTGGGTCCTTTCTTGCACTGTGAGACTTAGATCTGCCAACTAGAGACAGCCTGGGATGGAATTTGCTCAGAAAATTGTACGGTGTAGAGCAACTTACAGGTTGTGCCTTCCAGGTGTTAGGGAGTCAGTCTAGTGACCTGCCATCTGACATGCTTTGCCCTCTTTGGAATGTGGATAACAGCAAGGGGTTATCAGTAGAAGGTAACACAAGGCTAAGCCTGGGTGATAGAAGCAGGAACGTAAAGGGACCCATATGAGGGATATTTCATGGGTAAATTGTACTGCAACCGTTGGAATGTGAAGGAAACGGGTACTCGATCAAAAAGTCAGAAGAATCTAGTTTCTGGCACAAGACAATGTCATCAATTCAATTCCATATGGAATTTGAGGCATTAGAAAAACATCCAAACATGCAGTTGAAAATATAAAACAAAGCCAAGAAAATCCAGAACCGTTCACAAATTTGTCATCTTTATAAAAATAGAAGTGTCAGGACTGGTCAGCAGGCAGAGCAGTGATTGCCCACATGGCATGCTTTGAAAGGGTCATCAAGAAGATTCTCCCTTCATCATATCACGCTGCCTGGAATTTTGCAATTAAAATAGTATTTTTCAGGGGCACCTGGCTGGCTCAGTTGGTGGATCATGCGACTCTTGATCTCAGGGTCTTGATCTCAGGGGCTCTCTTATTGAGCCCCACACTGGGAGTAGAGATTATTTAATAAAAAAAGTTAATGGTATTTTTCCTATATCATCAAATATATATTGCACATATTATATCTCTGGAAGGAATGGTAAGAAATGTTGGTAACAGTGGTTACCTCACAAAAGGAGGATTAGAAGCTTGGAGGTCAGAGATGGGAAAAAGACCTATCTTTTAGCATTTACATTTTTATACCCACTGAAGCTTTTTATCATGTACATAGATGTTCAATCTGGAAAAGAAAATTTTCCTTTTATTTTTAAAAGTTGGAATTTGTCAGTGAGTGTTGATTAAATTATATTACATCCATTAAGTGGGATAATGTGCAGTCATTAAAATGAAAAAAGCGCTTTGATCCAACAGACATACTGATACAAGAGATCTCCATTTGGGTACCTGGCTAGCTTGGTCAGAGGGACATGCATGCAACTCTTGATCTTGGGGTCGTGAGTTCAAGCCCCATTTCAGGTGGAGAGATTACTTAAAAAACAATGAATCTTAAAAAAAAAATGTCCATGATGAATTGTTAGGTAAAAAACAAAATTCAGAGTGTAAACATTAAGAAGACACCCATTTAGGGGCCCGGTTGGTTAATCCTCCAACTTTTGATTTCACCTCAGCTCATGATCTCTTGGTTTGTGAGACGGAGCCCCGAGTTGGGCTCTGTGCTGACGGCACGGAGCCTGCTTGAGATTTTCTTTCTTTCTCGCTCTCTCTCTCTGCCCCTCCCCCACGCTCATGCACTCTCTTTCTCTCTCTCCCAAAAATAAATAAACTTTTTAAAAAGTCACCCACTTAAAAATAATTGTATTTAACTGCTCATTAATATGTGCAAAGGAGAAAGCATTGGTTACCTTTGCAAGATGGAGTCAGAGGAAGCTTGTTTCCCAGCTATACATTTTGACATTTCTTGAAATTTTACAAGAAAATATTACTTTGTAATCAGAAAATAATATAATTTAAACCATTTCTATTACATCACTAATAGCTCAAGAATAGATGGGGGGGAGTCAACATCAGCAGGTGGGTCCAATTTCAAACCCTCTAGATGAAAACCAGGTGCATGCAAGGAGAGTTTGTACATTAAGTCAGGGAGGAGTGTCATAATACAGTCTCGGCTCACAGCAGTACCTCAATAATGTTTAATAATTGAATTTGTAATTAAACTCAATAATGTTTAGTAATCAGACTATAGAGTAGATAATACCTGTCTCTTTCCCCAGCGCATGACAGAATAGGTACTTATCACTGGGAATCTAAAAATGAGTTTCTGGCCTCGAAGCCGTTGCAATATAAAGTAACTTCACATCACCTGCTTTCTTCTCTTTATTGCTCCCAAATTACCCAATTTCCTTTCCCTTCCCCCTTGTCTTCCCAGCCCTCTTCTTTAAATTGCCTATTGCAACCACAAGAGGGCAACAGCCTCAAGCACAAAAAAGGCTCTCAGGCACTGGTACTTGTAACAAGCAAAGGGATGATGTGGTTACAAAAATGTTATAAAAACTTTAGGGATTTCAGCATCTTGCTCTGGATATGTGTGTGACAACATTTAATATTCCATTTCAAATGATAAACAATGAGTGGGGAGAAAAATCTGTGCTGGTGAATGGAGCTAATATACTTCCCTCTCTTCCAGATGCTGGCCAAGAAGAGGTGAGATAGAAAAGAGACGGTCTAGAACCCAAGACTTAATCCTAATGTAAATTCTTGCACCAGGATGGAAGGAGAATCTCACCATAATACAACCATTGTCAATGACACCCCAGTAAATCACCAGCCTTTGGAACGCCATGGGTTGTGGGAAGTCATCACCATCGCAGCTGTGACTGCTGTGGTAAGCCTGATCACCATTGTGGGCAACGTCTTAGTCATGATCTCCTTCAAAGTCAATAGTCAACTGAAGACAGTGAACAACTATTACCTGCTCAGCTTAGCCTGTGCAGATCTCATCATTGGGATCTTCTCCATGAACCTCTACACTACCTACATCCTCATGGGACGCTGGGTGCTTGGGAGTCTGGCTTGTGACCTCTGGCTTGCACTGGACTATGTGGCTAGCAATGCTTCTGTCATGAACCTTCTGGTGATCAGTTTTGACCGTTACTTTTCTATCACAAGACCTCTGACATATCGGGCCAAGCGTACCCCAAAAAGGGCTGGCATCATGATTGGCCTGGCCTGGCTAATCTCCTTCATCCTTTGGGCCCCAGCAATCCTCTGCTGGCAATACCTGGTTGGGGAGCGGACAGTGCCACCAGATGAGTGCCAGATCCAGTTCCTCTCTGAGCCCACCATCACTTTCGGCACTGCCATCGCTGCCTTCTACATCCCTGTTTCGGTCATGACGATCCTCTACTGCCGAATCTACCGGGAAACAGAGAAGCGAACCAAGGACCTGGCTGACCTCCAGGGCTCTGACTCCATGGCTGAAGCTGAGCCAAGAAAGCCAGCTCATAAGGCTCTGCTGAGGTCCTGCTTTAGCTGCCCTCGACCCACACTGGCCCAGAGGGAAAGGAACCAAGCCTCCTGGTCATCCTCCCGCAGGAGCACTTCCACCACTGGGAAGCCATCCCAAGTCACTGGCCCAAGCACCGAGTGGGCCAAAGTCGAGCAGCTCACTACCTGTAGTAGCTACCCTTCCTCAGAGGATGAGGACAAGCCCACCACTGACCCTGTCTTCCAAGTAGTCTACAAGAGTCAGGCCAAGGAAAGCCCAAGGGAGGAATTCAGTGCTGAAGAGCCCAAGGAAACTTTTGTGAAAACTCACACTGAGAAAAAGGACTATGACACCCAAAAATACTTCTTGTCCCCAGGTGCTGCTCATAGACCCAGGAGTCAGAAATGTGTGGCCTATAAGTTCCGATTGGTGGTAAAAGCTGATGGGACCCAGGAGACCAACAACGGCTGTCACAAGTTGAAAATCATGCCCTGCTCCTTCCCAGTGTCCAAGGACCCTTCAGCGAAAGGCCTGGATCCCAACCTCAGCCACCAAATGACCAAACGAAAGAGAATGGTCCTTGTCAAGGAGAGGAAAGCAGCCCAGACCTTGAGTGCCATCCTACTGGCCTTCATCATCACCTGGACCCCTTATAACATCATGGTCCTGGTTTCCACCTTCTGTGACAAGTGTGTCCCAGTCACCCTGTGGCACCTGGGCTACTGGCTGTGCTATGTCAACAGCACTGTCAACCCCATTTGCTACGCCCTCTGCAACAGAACCTTCAGGAAGACCTTTAAGATGCTGCTTCTCTGCCGATGGAAAAAGAAAAAAGTAGAAGAGAAGCCGTACTGGCAGGGGAATAGCAAGCTCTCCTGAAAAGTAACAACTCCTCTCAAAAGAGTGACCATGGTCAATTTCTTCTGAGGACGGGTGGGCTGATTCTGGCTTATTTGTTTTCAAAAAAGACATATATCATTTTGAGCGCCTGAGGACTTTGTAAAGGCTTCAGATCTGTCACCAAAAGGGAGGAGTCACAGCTGCCACAAGTGCTGCCATATTGAATGATTCTTGTCTATGACCAAGGTCTCCTGATGCCACTGGAGTTCGCTGTTGAAGTGAGGAGACAGACTTGTGTCCCTCCACAGGGGGAGGAACACTGGATCACAACGAACAGTGACTTACGGAATTTCGGTCCCCTAACCTCTGCAGAGCAGCAGGGACTGGGTGGAAACCTTCCCTGTGGAAACCTGTATTCAGGTTTTGTGCAATATGTGTGTGTCTGTGGGGTTGGCTCCTGTCAGTGAGAATCGGGAGACTATAAGTCAGTGTTACCTGTTAAGAAGAGTGATATTCAACTGGCGTCTAAGACTCCATTTCTTTATAAACTGATCAGTATCATGCCGATGTTATGTGTTCTGTACTGTGGTATGTTCTTCTGTCCCTACATCTGAGTGAAGCTTTCACAACCGATGCCAATTCCTGGTACCCACTGAAACCCTGCTGGTCTCCATGGAACCATCCTTTCCCCCAGAATCCTGGGTCTGGACTGAAACCTGATCCCACCCAGTCAGATAGAGGGGCCTCTACTCTGCTAATAAAGAAGATCAAGCCTCTGCAGCTGTTTTAGTTTCTACCAATGGGATTTTTTTTCCTTTCGTCTAAACAGATATTGTGTATTCTATTTTGTGACTATTTGGGTCTATTTATTCATGCTCTGTTCATGCATAAAGGTCTTCTCTGGGCTATTTCATCACAATTCTTTTAATTGTTTTCAGAGGCCTTGCTTTCTAATCTCTTCACAAGGCAAACCTGAGGCAAACTGTAGAAAACAAATTTGGTTTCACTCCATGCTTTTGAGCTTCTTCCAAAACTCTTTTGCCAGCCCCCAATTTCCCTCATCCAGAGGCAATTCACAGCCAGGCTCAAGCAGGTCACCTTGCAGCCTCCAGCCAGAAGTGCTATTTGGAGGACAGGAGGGGAAAGACTTTTTTTCTTTCTTTTTTATTTTTATAGGTCTTTCAAATCATGGCTCAGAAATGACTTATTCATTCATCTCAAAATTCACTATCAAAGATGAGAAGCTCAGAAAAGTACAGTTAAGGTCCAGCGAAGCTGGCGACAGTCATTAAAAATGAAAGCCTCTTGGGGCACCTGGGTGGCTCAGTTGGTTAAGCGTCTGACTTCAGGTCATGATCTAACACTCCGTGAGTTCGAGCCCCACATCGGGCTCTGTCCTGACAGCTCAGAGCCTGGAGCCTGCTTCGGATTCTGTGTCTCCCTCTCTGCCCCTCCCCTGCTCATGCTCTGTCTCTCTCTGTCTCAAAAATAAATAAAAACATTAAAAAAAATTTTTTTTAATGAAAGCCTCATCTTTAATCACAAAATGTATATCATAGTAATAAATAAAAATAGAAGTTATCAACATAACATACATTAGAGTATCAAAATGATCAAAAGCAAATTTGATTGGAATTTCTCTTCTATGTGTATAAACAGTGTATATAAACAATTTTTTTTGAAAATTCTGAGAATAAACCAATGTGCAAGAAATGGAAACTATAAAACTGCATACAATTAATAAAGTGGCAGTGTAGTAACACAGGGTTTTAGAGATGAAGTTCTCCCGTCAGACAGAACCCCATTATCTAACCTGTTGACAACATCTGCAGTTGTGTTTTAACACCTCCAGACTTCACTTAACGTAGGCCAGTCATGATTCAATCTCATTTGCTAAGGGGATGTATAAATAGCTGCTTTAGTTGTCCTGGGAATTGCATATGTACTTGAGTATAAAAGAACTTCCCCCTACCACAGAAGAAGGAATCAGTCTGTTAAACCAGATCCCAAGAAGGCTTCAGGGCGGGACACACAGGTGCACCCAGGTCTCTCCCCCACCCTTATGGGGACTTGATGTTGAGATGAAACATTTTAGAAGCAATGTAGCTGCTGAGACTTTGTGAAGGGCAGGTTGACACCCGCCAAGAATTTCATAAAGAATATTAATTAATTGGCTCAGTTCTCCAGGAGAGAGGCTCCCAGGCCTGCGTGATGCTAACAGGGTGTGACTTCATAAGCAAACCTGTTCTACCAGCTCTAGATAGACAGTAGATTCTTTTAGTTTAAGACTTTCATTCCTGACAAAATCGCAAACCCCTCCAAGAGCACTTTGAGCCAACACTGGGCATTTACTGTTCACAGCAGAGAGAGACACAAGCTAATTCAAACAAAAGAATGCAGAGGTGGGGGAGGGGACGAACACTGGGGCACATTTTTCATACGCCACAATTGCCTAGGACTTAGCCTTTTGGGTTTATCTTTTGTGAAACTGAGAGGGCTATGCTTTCCTTTTTTTGTCATTGGATTTGGGAGGCAGCCCATTTTACAGACTACCGACACCCCTTGACATAGGAAAAAAAAAAAAAACAATCTAGGAGAAACTATTCTTTAGAATAGGGCCTATGGTAGGGCCCTTGGAATGAACAGATCCAATTGTAAACTACAGGGACCTGGCGGGTGGGTGGCTTGGTGAGGTGCGGGCTGACTTCGGATCTTAGGCTTTTTATGCCCCCAGTCTTCCAAGCTCTGTCTATGGTAAACTGTGTACAGCTTTGACTCGTCACCTATTGAATGCTGCTATGTTGCTAACATTGTGGCTTGTTTCTCCTTGACTGTGAATTTGATAGCTTGTCGAGGAATCTGTTTTCACTCTGCTGTGCTCCTTTAGGGAAATGTCCTTTGACAGCAATGCTGATGTTTGCCTCTTTGTAACTGTGAAATCTGTACCTAATCTCTGGATGGGAATATCCACTTGTCTACTGTAAATACTGGAATTACAACTAACGATGTGGGGACTAGGCTGCTTTTTCTGTATCGTGCTAGTATTACTCTGGATATTAAAGAAATTTAACCGTACACTAGTCTAATGGAAAGTGTTTAAATAAGAAAACGTGGGGCAACTGCCTAGCTCAGTCGGAAGAGCATGTGACTCATGGGGTCTGGGTGGCCCAGTTGGTTAAGTGTTCAACTTTGGTTCAGGTCATGATCTCACTGTTCCTGAGTTCCAGCCACGAGTCAGGCTCTGTGCTGACAGCTCAGAACCTCGAGCCTGCTTCAGATTCTGTCTCCCTCTCTCTTCACCTCCCCCTTTTGTGCTCTCTCTCTCTCTCTCTCACACACACAAAAAAATAAATAAACATTAAGAAAAAAAAAAGGAAGAGCATGCAACTCTTGATCTCAGAGTCATGAGTTCGAGCCCATGATGGGTGTAGAGATTACTAAAAAAATAAATATACATACATAGGAAAATGGTCTTCGTGCCTGGCTGGCTCAGTCAGTAGGGCATGTAAGTCTTGATCTCAGGGTCTTGAGTCTGAGTTCCACACTGGGTGTAGAGATTACTAAAAATAAATAGAGAAAAATGAAAAGTGTTTTTTAAAAAAAGAAAGAAAATGGTCTCAAATTAGCTTGATAGATCCATCTATATGAGAGATCCTACACACATTTGCACATTCTGGTCTTTTAAGAAGGGAGGGTCTAGAGACTCTTTTTTTTTTTTTTTCCTTAAATTTTATTTATTTTTATTAAAAAATTTTTTTTAATTTGTATCCAAGTTAGCATGTAGTGCAATAATGATTTCAGGAGTAGATTCCAGTGATTCATTGTATAACACCCAGTGCTCATCCCAACAAGTGTCTTCCTTAATGCCCCTTACCCATTTAGCCCATCCTCCCACCCACAACCCCTCCAGCGACCCTCAGTTTGTTCTCTGTATTTAAGAGTCTCTTATGTTTTGTCCCCCTTCCATTTTCATATTATTTTTGCTTCCCTTCCCTTATGTTCATCTATTTTGTGTCTTAAATTCCACATATGAGTGAAATATGATGTTTGATATTTGTCTTTCTCTAATTTTGCTTAGCATTATCCCCTCTAGTTCCATCCACGTTGTTGCAAATCTTTTTTTTTAATTTTAAACGTTTATTTTTGAGAGGGAAAGAGAGCACCAAGCACAAGTGGGGTGGGGCAGAGAGAGGAGGACAGAGGATCTGAAGCAGTAGAGAGCTCAACTGACTGAGCCACCCAGATGCCCCTGGTGACAGGTTAGAGACTCTTAAAGACAGAGAACTGAGGGTTGATGGAGGGAGGTGGGTGGCGGATGGGCTAGATGGATGATGGGTACCAAGGAGGGCACTTGTGATAAACACTGGGTGTTGTATGTAAGTAATGAATCACTGAATTCTACTCCTGAAACTAATATCGCACTGTATGTTAACTAAAATTTAAATAAAAACTTGAAAAGAAAAAAATAAAAGCAGGCGGGGTTGATAGACAGTGTGGATACAGGTCCTTCTTGCTACCCTTATGATTTCCCCCTTTCCTCTCAGCTACCAATGACTAAATGAAGATGAAATAATGATGACAAGATTCCTGTGACTAAAAGTCTTCCCTTTCCCTCCAGGACACGGGAGGTAGGGCAGACCCTGCAACATTACAGAACAGCAGCATTTCCTCTGCAGCTACTCAGAGCTGGTGCCCCAGTCATTCATTTCCATTATAAATGGTTCTAATTTCCATCTCCCCCACACCATTTCACCAGGAAAGTTTGAGAATATGTGCACTCTTGCCCAATAAGGAATCCAGATTGTGAGTGGGAGGAGAAAGGGAAAAATTTTTTTAAGTACCAGGGAAGGAGCCAGAAGGAACTTTAAAAGAAAAACAAAAATTTTTTTCAAAATAATTTTAAACTTAAAGAAAAGCTGCAAGAATAGTACAAAAAACTCCTTAAACTCCTTATTTTTCACCCACATTCCCCAATTGTTAACACTTTGTTACATTTGTGCTCTGTGTGTGTGTGTATGTGTGTGTGTGTACACACATGTATTTTTTCCTCAACCATTTGGAGGAAGTTGCAGACATCATGTCCGTTGACTTCTAAATACTTCACTGGTGGGTGGGGCGTGGGCGGCAGGTAGCTGCTTGGGTCGGTCAGTTGGTTGAGCGTCCAACTTCAGCTCAGGTCCTGATCTCAGTTCATGGATTCGAGCCCCTCCATCAGGCTCTGTGCTGACAGCTCAGAGCCTGGAGCCTGCTTCAGATTCTGTCTCCCTCTCTCTCTGCCCCTCTCCTGCTCGTGCTCTGTCTCTCTCTCTCAAAAATAAATAAATGTTAAACAACAAACAAACAAATAAATAAATACTTCAGTGGCTATTTCTTAAGAAGATTATCTTATATAACCACAACACAAATATTGAAAAATCAGGAAATTTAACATTGCTACAATATTTTTATGTAATACATAATTACATAACTGTGTAATACATTGCATACTCAAATTTTGGCTGTTGTCCAAAATAATGTTCTTTATAAGAATATCTTTTCCAGTTCAATATTACACACTGCATTTTGTTCTCATGTCTCTTTAAACTCTTCTAATCTGGAAATGGTCCTCAGCTTTCCATTGTCATTCATGACATGGTCATTTATGAGTGCATTCAATCCAATAAAAAAAAAATCATCATTTCCATCGATTTGGGGTTGTCTGGTATCTCCATATTAGATTCGTTTTAATTTGTCTGCTACTTTTGATTTGGGCAAGAATATCACAAATGGATATTGTGTCCTCAGTGTATCACATCAGGAGGACATGATCTTTTATCCCATCGTTGGTGATGTTAACATTGGTTACTTGGTTAAAGTGCTCCCCACTGCCTACCCACCCCAGTTTTCTCTACTATAAATGTACTATTTTTCCCTCTGCAATTAAAAATTTTTAAGGAAGAGACTGATTCTATGTAAATTTCTTATGGGTTTTCACCCAATAATGGCAGCATCTACTTATTATTCTCACCCAAATAAGTTATTTCTATAATAGCCAAATGGATGGCATTCTACTATAAGGAAGACTTTTTCCATTTATTTATTTATTTGCTTACTTACTTACTAATACTATGGACTCCTGAATTCATTTTAGTAATTGGTTAAAATCCATTACTATCATTATTTCAGTGCTCAAATTGTCATAAATGTAAGCACTGAGAGCCCCTTTCGGATGACTCCTGTGACCCTTTGACATACCCATACTTATTTCCCAGAGAGAGACAGGGAGAGAGAGCCCCAAGCAGGCTCCGTGCCATCAGCACAGAGCCCGTGTGAGGCTCCATGTCACTAACCATCAAGGGCATCTGGTGGTATGAGGTTTATTCAAGTATAAGAAGATGAGGACTTTTTGGAGAAATAGACTGCCATAAGGCACACTAATGTAGACAAGTCTGGATGATGGTCAAGCCCAGTAAGCAGAGCTAGACCTTGGCTTTCTTTGCCTCATCACAAATAAACTTAAGGTTGTAGCACCTCCCCCGCACCCACATTAATTCATCAAAGGAGATGGGGACAAGACAGTTCACTGGGAGGGTAATTTACCCTGCTGGATGTGTCCTCTTTGACTTTAATGTGAATATTTAAGTGTCAGTCTTTTGCCTGTTATTACTTAATGTCTCTAGACATTAATGCCCTTATGTTCCTGCTAAGGGCAGTTCTCCAAAGTTTCACTCCCAGGCGTTGGCAATGATTTTCTACGGAGAGCTATCTTGCATAAGTGTATCTGCAATGGTGTCCTCATTAAAGGAATGGGGACTCTTATCTTCAGCAAAGAGCAACTCATACTCAACCCACTTATTGCCAATATCAGTAGCTGGGAGCTTGTGCTTATTTTTTAGTAGTCCCACATATACCCAAGGATAAGTTTACAGTGCAGCCACTTTCCATTACAATCCATGAAGCTATTGACCATGATATACTAACTATAGCCAAGTCTTCCTACTATATGGTACAGTAGGCTGCAGAAGAAAAAGCCACCAGCCAGAAGACGGCAAAGAAGAAACAGTACAGATTACACCTGGGATGTGGAGAACCATTCTTCTCCCTAAAAAACTAGATCACCATGGTTGAACACCTTTTGACAGGTCCTTTATACCCAGAAGTAGGGCCTATGCAGGAGAGTCTGAAACAAAAAAAAAGATACTAGGTTGTTGGGTTTGTTTTTTAGGCTTATTTATTTATACTGAGAGAGAGAGAGAGAACAAGCAGGGGCGGGGCAGAGAAACCCAAGCAGTCTCTGTGCTGTCAGCAGAGCCCCAGTGGGGGCAGA